GAGAGAGAGAGAGAGAGAGAGAGAGAGAGAGAGAGAGAGAGAGAGAGAGAGAGAGAGAGAGAGAGAGAGAGAGAGAGAGAACGGCAAAATTCTAGGGACAATTGCATTGCAACATGACAGATCGGATGGAGGGTTATAAAGCCCACTAATTGATTCTCGATGTGGGCGAGTGGAATCAAATGGGCATCTGCGATGTGGACCGCAGACTAAGCGAACACGAAATACAATGTTGAAAGCATTTATTGGACGTTTCACAATAGTGGTCTCGTAGCTGAATGAGTTTCTCAAGTGGGAAAGGAAAACTCTTTCTTTCAGTTTTGATGGCATGGTCGGACTATATAATATATATTGAAACATCTGATGTCCATTCTGGATGGAGGATGAATGCCGAATACGTTTCTGTGAGTCCAACTGGATTCGTAGCAAGCTTGTATGTTGGCACCGTTGGCGGAATTGTGGGTAAATTCCCAGTGTGTTGATTTGGGACGGCTTGGATCAGGAACCTTTTTGGTACGCTGCCCTCGAGGTGCCATTGTAACTTTGCGTTAAAGCCCCCACTCCCTTCCGCGTATATCGTCTGTGGGCCTCACAACTCAAATTTTGGAGGCTGGGTGCCGCCAATGAAGTTTATCAATGGCAGCCCATCCCCGAAAGTTATGGGTTGGGTTACTTTTACAGCTTTACCCTCCCAGTCTGAAAGGTAGTGGTCGTTTAAGAGAAGCGCAGAAAATCACTTCATGAGGTTGCCAAGAAAGGTAATCCTCCCTCACCTTCTGTGCATATCTGCGTCACCCAGAAAAGTGAAAAAGTAAGTAATGCTACTTCTCCGATTACAGAAACCTGCACCCAAAAAAAAGAAAAGTAATCCTTTGCAAAGAGGACGGCTCGTCAGATGGAATACACTGTTGTAGACTGGTTGTGAAAACCAGTCTGCAAAAAAAAAAAAAAATCCTTTGCAAAAAACAGGGCAGCAAGACATAGCAAACCTAAATGGAACAGATGCGCATCCGACTCGCCGAACTATCAGTGATTTGGACCTCGATTACCCTGCCGCTATGGCAAAAGAAAAAGGAAAAGAAGGGGGGGAAGAAAAGGAAAAAGTTTAAAAAACAACATAGAATGAGAGAGACGGCGATATGCACCAGATACTAGTGCAATGTCTTCTTACTAGGCTTTACTCACACAGTGAAACAATAATGCACATTTTTGAAACCTCGAGAGACGATTCATTGTCCTTCAGCCTGTCACACCTCAACTGCTGTCAGTGCTGTCAGTGCACAGGCTCGAGTCCACTTACATAAGAAGGTCATCCACTCGCTTGTGTGAACACTGATTCCACATTGAGATGTAGTCCACAGCACCCTACCCTGTGTGCATCGTACCAAATTCGCAGAACCTGTTCTCCACACCGTTGCGTCGTCCATGTCCTTGTTCAAGGGTTCAGTTGTGAACTGGTGGTTTATTCTGTCTGAAATTGTGAACACCAAATGAAATTGTGAACACCAGATGAAATTGTGAACACCAGATGAACGACCTTGCACAATTCCATCATGAACGAACCTACCCCCCTACTGTGGAGTAAATTGATGGTGTACCAACCACCTGCCGTATATTTTGTCTCAATATTTCTTGGACTTTTTTTTTTTCTTTTTTTAATAACTAAGCTATGTTCTTCTCTCAATTTCACCTTTCACTATCTACCTACCACTACTAAGCCTATACAGTGGACCCCTGCAACCATGGCTACCTCTCACAATTAAGGGGATGCATGTTGCCTCCTGCCCTAATCGGTGGTGGTCAGGAAGTAGGGTGGGGCTGCCAGTGGGGGAGGGTTCGCTTAAGTGAAAGACCGAGCATTTTGCGAGTAGCTGCGCTCCCATCTACTTCTCCCACCCCCCATCACGTAGCAGCGGTGGCTATGGCCAATACTCTCCCGCACACCACACACAACCCACTCACGCTCACGCTCACGCTCATACCCGTGTTGGTCATAGACCCTGCTAGCCCCAATCAGGGTTATCAATCGGACTATCGCAGTCCGTTGGCATTAGTTCAGCACAGGCTTGGTCATAGGGTGCGAACCCACAACCTCCTGAATGCCACTTGCATGCCTAACCAACTGCGCTAGGCCGCTGGATTCTTGGACTCGTAGGAGTGTGCTTGGAACCTGGACTGTTTTTGGTATAAGAGCAGCGGGCAAAGACCCAAAACTGCCCCAGTTTTGGGTTTTTCCCCTCTTATACCAAAAAAAGTCGCTGGCCTTTGAACGGTGCCTGTAGTCGCTGGCCCCAGTTTTGGGATAAGAGCATGGAGAGATCATCATAGGCCTGTGAACCTGGTAAAAAAACAGTCACAGGCTCGTGAATTGGCCGCACAGGAGTGAAGACGGCTTGAATTGAACCATACCCACCATAACGGAGAATTGTGGCAATAATGCCTCCGTGTGACACCCTGCTATTTTACTGGCCACAGAGGATGGACTCAGGCGGGGGCACTTGTCTTTTCGTCTTTCCCACAAGAACGCAGTCATTTTTTTTCCCTTCCTGCGTCCCCCCCCTTCCCCCTCTCTTCTTGGCCCCCCTCCCCGAAGGGACCCACACACAAACAGAGTCTGGATGCGGTTTCTATTTTGCAGTCACATGGGGAGCTCCGTTTTTCTGTTGTTTTCAGTGCACTTCGTTGAAAGGAGCAACCACCTGAATTGGTGTCTGGGATGTTGTGTCCGTTAGGTCTCTTCCTGTCCATGACACAGTGGACCGGAAGTTGTTGTGATGCTGTTGCATACTGTAACGTGCAGACCAGAACAAGAACCGACCTTTCAATACAAAGTATAAGATAGCACAACGGAAGACTTAGATACCAGTGATCAGAACAATCAATGTTGTAATGCAGTCCTGAACATACATCATCATCATCGTTACATGGTGTGAAATGGGCCTGGCGCTTCACACAGGAAGACTGCGCCAGCCCATACCATACACAGACAAAGAGGAAGGGGATAGACGAAGAGGAGGGGGAAGATGGGAACGTCGTCAACACCAAGTCTTCGGCACAAGCCCAAATAGTCCCTCGTCGGAATGTCTGAATCCCAAATGTCAAGTCTGGATCCAATGTCGTCAAGTCTCAAGTCACAACTCTGTCTCTCTCTGTCGTAGTCTGAGAAGTCAGGTGGCGAGAGGGTGAGAAGAGAAGGTGGACGTAGAAGAGGAAGAAGAAGAACTCTCCCTCTCTCTGTGTCCAGTACTAACCTGTGAAGTTTGCGCCTTGATGCAGGTACCACGAAGATGGAGCTGGAGCGATGACGCCACAGGTAAGTCCCACTGACCTCCGCCAGTCTCTCTCCCACTCTACGATCTACCACCTACCAGTGCCCAGCGCTGAAGACTACAGCTACAGCTATGGCGCCCAGCGCCGAAGACTACAGCTAGCGCTAATACCTGCCTAGCGCTGAAGACTACTGCAGCGCTCCTCCTGAGTGCTGCGGACGAAATCCTGAAGACTCCCCTTGCCTACTGACACTACCTGCYCGTGAAGTGCATGGGAACTTCCTATGTACTACGGGTGTGCCTCCTGAGCCTGCCGAAGGGAGGCAGGGGCTGCAGCTGCAGCTCCTGCTCAAACTCGTGAGGAACAGGCTATTTCTGGCCTGTTCCGCATCCCTGTTTACGTGCCTGAGTCTTAGGGCCAGGTCGAAACAATGAGGGCCTGAAAATGGCCCTCCGTTTCAGGCTGAAAACTTTGGGTCTGAAAAGACCCAGAAATAGGCTGAAACGGGGTAGGGCCTGCAGGCCCTCGTTTTTCAGCTTCCAGTCTGAAAGGAACGGGGCCTGTAAGCCCTAAGTTTTAGGCTGTTAGGCTGAATGTTCGGAACGGGCCCTGCAGGGCCCGTGTGGCTACGCAGTATGCCACACCCCCCCCTACTTGAAGAACCGAGCTTACCTGCAAGGGCGAACCTGTCTGTCTGAGGGAGGGACCACAGTCTGGGTGGGAGGGGCTGGTCGTGAAGCTTCCTGAGCTAACCTCCGCTTTTCATAATGCGCGTAGATCAGCGGTGTGGATGCTTTCAAATCTGCTCCTGAAATCCACCGAGTGTCGTCACGATCGCATGCTTTGAATGTGACTTTGTACTGCTGCGGCTTGCTGCCGAACTTGCGATCGGAGATGACGCRGTCAACTTCCTGATGGCCATCCATAGAAGGAGGGTCTTGTGATCGTCGGTCCGGAAAGTCGTCGCTCTTGGCTGGCGTGTATGTTGCCAGCTTCGAGGCGTGGAAGACCGGATGGACCGTCAAATGCTTTGGAATGTTGATCACAAATGAAGGGCCATCGGGCTCATCGCCCGCGGCTGTTGTCACCGACCAAGGTCCAAACCACTTGGGAAGCAGTTTGCGTGAAACATCCTGTTCCAATGCAAACTCTTCCGCGGAGACCCAAACCAGATCACCGGCGCGGATGGGACATGGTACGCGACGCCTGTTGGCTTGCTGCTGCATGCGGACTTGAGCCTTCTGCATATTTGCGCGGGCTTGAGTCAGCAATTCCCTGTACTTCCGGACGGAAGCGGGAGAGCAGGCAACGTCAATGTCGGTTGGTCGAGGGAGGAGAAGGTCTGCGAAAATCCGGCCTTTTCGTCCACCGTGGTGCAACTCGAATGGAGTCACGCCGATCGCCGGATGCACAGAAGTGTTGTAGGTGAACTCGATGTCGGGGAGGCGGTCAACCCAATCTTTCTGGTTCGGACGAATGAGCGTACGAAGCATCATTTGAGCGGTTTGATGTGCCCGCTCCGTCTGCCCGTCTGTCTGAGGATGTCGAGTCGAACTTAGTTTCATTGTTGTGCCGGACTCCTGCATGAGAGCAGTCCAAAACGCCGACATGAAACGAGTGTCGCGGTCGCTGACAATGTCTTCTGGTACACCGNTCCAAAACGCCGACATGAAACGAGTGTCGCGGTCGCTGACAATGTCTTCTGGTACACCGTGGCCACAAATCCAACCAGTGTGCAGGAGGCGTGCCATCTCGGGAGCCGTGGAGTAGTACTTGCAAGGGAGAAAACGCGAGTACTTACTCAATCGGTCCACAACCGTGAGGATGTCGTCGTGCCCGAGCCGGTCGCGAGGAAACGGACCGGTGATGTCCATGGCGATGGAGAGACCGGGTTCCCGTGGGATAGGCATCGGGTGTAACTCGTCGTAGTGATTGCGGTTGCGGGGCTTGCTGCGTCAGCAAACTTCGCAAGAGTCGCAAGTCGCAATATCGAGTGACATCGGTAATGAGGTCGGACCATCGGAATCGTTGTCGAAGCCGTGCAATAGTGCGGTTGATTCCGAAATGGCCGGCGTGTCGTGAATCGTGATACTCGCCGAGGAGGCGAGTCCGAAGACGACAGTCGCGTGGGACACATAGTAAGTCCTTGCCTCTCGAGTGGAGGAGCAAGTACGCGGCGACAATGCGGAAATGGCTGGCCCGCGGCTGATCCGAAGATAGCTATGCATAGAGCGTGCTGAAGTCCGGATCAGATTGATATGCCCGGATAAAGTGTCGCTGAAGCTCCTCGTCGAATGCGAAGGCTGTCATAGCGCAAAGATCTGGTCTTCGCGAGAGTGCATCTGCTGCGTGATTGGAGAGGCCAGGGGCATGTTTCGGTGTGAAGTCAAATTGGTCGATGAAGTACATCCATCGTCCGATTGTGCTGCTCACCGTGTCCTGCGTCTTGTAGTAGGTCAATGGATTGTTGTCTGTGACTCATGTGAACCTACGACGCCCAAGGAGGAAGTGCCGCTAGCGCTTGAGAGCCATCACGAATGCGAGCAGCTCCTTCTTCCTTGCATCATCAAGCGAGTTGATGGGAGGCACTTTGTGGCTGAAATACTCCACAGGGTGTCAGTCGTCGCCGTCGTGTTGTTCCAAGACTGCCCCAATGCCATAGCCGGAAGCGTCCGTAGTCACTCGCGTCGGCAGGGTGGGGTCATAGATGCTAAGGACGGGGTGCCATGAGCATAGCCGTCTTAAGTGCTTGGAATGACCGACGTGCGTCGTCATCGAATACGAATGGCACCTTTGGCGACTGTAACCTCGTCATAGGTACAACAATCCTGGAGTATCCGGTGATGAATCGTTGATAGTAGCCCGCCAACTCGATGAATGAACGAACGTCCGTGGTGTTGGTGGGCTCGGGCCATACCCCGTAGGGCCTCGATCTTGTTCGCAAGCGGACGAATGCCTTGCGGCGTCACATAGTGTCCCAAGTACTCCAGCTCCTGGTGTGGGAACTCGCACTTGTCGCGGTTTGCTTTGTACTTGGCCTGTCGTAGCCGCTCCAAAACGGTGCGCAAGTGTTCCACATGCTCGTCCAGACTCCGGCTGTAAACCAGAATGTCGTCGAGGTAGATAAGTACGAAAAACGATCCAGCATGTGTCGGAACTCCGTCGTCATAGCCCCTTGGAAAATGGTTGGGGCATTCGTAAGGCCAAATGGCATGACCAGCCATTCGAAATGCCCATAGCGTGTCTTGAACACGGTCTTGTAGCGATCCTCCTTGCGAATCTCGAGTTGGTGGTACCCTGACTTGAGATCCAGCTTAGAGAAGAACTGGGCGCCGCCCAATCGCTCGAGAAGGTCGTCGATGCGTGGTAGAGGGCCGACGTTCCTGATCGTCTGCGCATTGAGCTTGCGATAATCGATGCACAACCGCAGGTCCTTGTTCTTCTTCCGGACGAATAGAACAGGAGCACCATATGGCGATGAGCTAGGCCGAATCCAGCCTTTCTCCAGAAGGTCGTCGTGTTGTGCCCGAAGCACACTTAACTCTTCCTTGCTCGTTCGATAGATGCAACCGTGCGGAGGTACGGCCCCGTCCTCGAGGATGATCTCGTGGCGGATGGGTCGATCCGGTACTACTCCGTGCGGGCCTTCGAACACGTCGCTGTAGGCGTCGAGAAGTTCGGTGATGCGTGGATCCGAAGGTGAGTTCGTTGAGGAAGCATCATGGGGCGGGAGGGCGTGGAGAAAACACACCCCCATCTCCTTGGTGTCGTCTCTGATGATGGAAGCTCGCATGATTGTGGCGGATACCACGTTGCAGCTGGTCGAAGGATGAGGAAGAGGCACCGTGCATGGAACTAATACTCCATTCCGGTCACGAACGTGAACGGTGCGGTTGAAGAAGTTCACCGGGTGATCCTTGCTTCGCAGCCATGAYATGCCCAAGATCATGTCGAATTTGGTGTCCAGAATGTCRAAGGWCACCGCCTCACTTGCGTGAGGGGCAAAGTACACTGGGACGGCGTCAATGCACCAGTCGATGGACTTGTGCGTATGACCGTCTGCCAGGGTGACTTGCATAGGCTGGGACTTCCTCCAGACACGTGGGCCAAGGCCGGCGCGTACCATGAAGTCCTGGCTGATGTAGTTGCGAGATGCTCCGCAATCGATCAAGGCACTGCAGGTCGCCTCTCCGATCTGAATGCGTATGTATAGCAATGGTGCGTCGATGTCGTCGTACCGTTGCGTCTTGAACTCGCGGTCGATCTTCGCGTTGAAAGCGTGAAGGTCGACAACCTCTGCTCCGGCGTCCATCAACGGAGCTGGTACTGCAGTGTGCAAGTAGTCCCGCAATTGTGCCATAAGCATGTTGCAATGCGGTTTCGGCAATTGTCCGGTTGAGGGAACGGGCATCCACTGGAAGTCCGTGAACGTCAATGGGTCGAGCTCTTCAAGTCTTGACCATGACGTCGAATCCCCGGCGATAGATTGCGGCGAAGCTGCCGAATCGGTTGCCGATGGTGATGAAACCGTGCATGCGGTGGACTGTTGCACATGGAGCGGTTGGTCCAGCGGTGGAACCAAGTGGACAGCATCATCCTCGCAAGTATACCGAGGACTTGCGACATTCGCATCCTCCCCAGATGTGCAGGAGGCCGCTAGCAAGGCGGCCGAATCTGGCGGAGTAGAAGGTGGAGTCGCCTCACCTTCCGCGGACCCGATCTGAGGCGGGGTCGCACATCCTCCTTGCCCTGATCTTGGCACAGGGAGGTCTTGTGCTTGGTGCTGTTGCACCAATAGCAGCTGCCGTAGCGGCCGCGGACCTTGTACTTCGCCTCGGTCAAGCCAAACTTGACCCATGAAAATTGTCCTGGCTGTCCATTTTCTGCCTGCGATGTGGATTTCGCCTTCCCATTGTTGCGGGACTTGTTGTTGCTTCACGGCTGGACAACAGCCACTTGATCTCCGTCACTTGATGCTGGAGTGGCTGCTGGGTTATCTCCACTGTCCTGCTGGACTGCAGCGAAGTGCTGCTGTCGCGGACCAGTTCGTAGCTTCTCCACATAGGTCGGCTGCCATGGTGATTTCTCATGTGCAGCTGACCTGTTGGTCTTGATGATCTCTCTCGCCTTGTCGATAATCTCGGCGAAAGTGGAGTAGTGCTCGCGATCACCAAGAGCCTGGCTCAATGCAGCGCAGGATCTGTAGTAGAACTCATGTCTGAGATGAGTGAAAGGCAGCTCCAGATTTGGGCACTGCCGCAATCTTCTGCAACTCTGTGAGCCAATCCCGTGTTGCAGTTTTGCCCTGTGACATGGTGAACAAACGGTTGATGGCGAGTGTCGGCGCGTCGTCGATGATGAACTTCTTCCACAGCCGTGTCAGTTCCTCCCATGTGATTTGGTCCTTTAAGTCTGGTATGTCGACGCCGTGGGAGGTTGCCAGATGGCTCAACCAGGTCTGGCATCCGCCCTTTGAGTTCAGGAACAGGGCGCCGATGTACGCATGCTTGGCTACGGCCAGAATCCTGAGTTGCGTTGTAAATGCTTCCCACCAGAGGACCGGATCCTGCTGCGTGTAGTCGTCGAACCTCTCCAGATTGAAAGTTGGCATCTTATACATCTTCGGCTCCCGCTTTCGTCGTCTGCAGCTGCTGGACCTCGGTCTTCAATGTATGCAGCTGACTGCTGATGGTGGTGGTCGGCGCAGCGAAAGTGCTGATGTCGCCGAGCATTGCCACTACGTGGTCAACGCGATCCTCCAGTTGGCGGCTAGAGGGTGCACTGCTGGAAGCCCCAACAGCTGGTCCTGGTACAGCCTGTTCCAGGTCCAGCAATCGGGCATTGAGTGCTCGAGTTGCATCCTCGTGGCTCTGCACCATGCGGCGGAGTTGTGCCAACTCCTGATGCTGTTGCGTCAGGTTCTGGTACTGTCTCTCCAACTCTGACCGTTGGTAGTTGCAAGCATACAACAACCGCGTCACGAGTTTGGAGAGGAACTCCTTGTGCTTCTCTTCCGGTGTTGCCTCGTCGCCGTTCGGTTCAAAATGCCAGTACTTGAGTCTATCGATGCTGTTGGCTTCATGCCGCTGCAGCAAATCCTGGGCTTCCTTGCGGCGAGCCTGGGCATCAGCGTCTGCATCGGCCTGTAGCTGCAGTTGTTCTGCTGCTGCTGCCTCTTCAGCTTGTACGCGGGCAGCCTCGGCTGCCAGCTGGCGTTGTTCCTCAGCCTCTATCTGAGCCTGGAACCGCTGCTTGTAGGCTGCAAGGGACTCGTTGGGGAGTTGCCCTGGCAGGCCCGTCATGTTGCTGACGTGGCACTGCTGACGTGGCACTTTGTTTGACGTGGCACTTTGTTTGACGTGGCACTGTGTGACGTGGCACTGCTGATGTGGCACTGCTTACGTGGCACTGTTTGACGTTGCACTGCTGATGTGGCACTGCTTATGTGGCACTGTGTCTGATGTGGCATTGCTGATGTGGCACTGCTTACGTGGCACTGTGTCTGACATCACTGCTGATGTGGCACTGAGTCTGATGTGGCACTGTGACCTGGCACTACTGACGCAGCATTGCTGATCTGGCACTGTGATGTGACACTGCTGACGTGGCACTGTGACCTGGTACTGCTGATCTGGCACTGTGACGTACCGAACCGGGATGCGTGCAAGGGGTGGGTGGGAGGGAAACGTAGGTAGGTAACCAACCCAACAATACTTTCCTCCGCCCTAATCAACAGATAAAATAAAAAAAAATAAAAATAAAAAGAGGACTACTTCCTTTTTTTTTTTTGTATATATCTGTCGATTTATGATGAGTAGGTGCCGCAAAGTTTCGGCTTTTACAAACTGCGATCTTGAAAATTTTTTTTTGCGAAATGGAGTAAAGATGCGATTTTCAGAAAAGAACGAAATCTAGTTTCTGAGAATATAGCAACCTCCAAATATGCCTAACGCAATATTGGTAGGCTTCGCAAGATTCGGTTTTCAAAAAAAAATTTGCGAGATAGAATGGAAATGCGATTTTCAGAAAAGAATAATTTCAGTTTCCGAGAATATGACCACTTCTATCGTTATCCCAATATGCCTAGAGAACGAAAATACTAACTTCAGAAATTTCAGCTATGTATGCGAAATATCAGAGAAACGAAATGCTACTATCGGGAATTTGCAGACAAAACGAATTGCGATTTATCAGAAATTTTCAGATATTTGTCACGTAAAAACGAACTACTAATATCAGAAATTTTCAGATAGAACGAAATGCGAATATCAGAATTTTCAGATAGTTGTTGCGAGAATTTCTTTTTTCAGAGATTTGACTAAGTCCTACTTGCGTTACTAGTGAGTGATCAATAGATCGCAAGCTGGCTACTTGATTGAGCGGGTCCTCTGTATGAGAGGTCC